GATAAAAGAAGATAAGATATGAAAAATGCATAAATTCGGTATATCTGATTTCATGTGTAACATCATAAATCGTCAAAAAACGTTATATAATTTATATGTAAATATGCAACATTTATACATAAGATTTAAAAGCCACTTATATAGCGAACCCTGATAGCTCTGGAAGAAAAGGCTTGCTATTGTATATAATATTATTCTCAGTTGTAAGTTAAATATCATTAACTAATCGTTTTAATAATTTAAATGATATCTATAATTGGTATTCACGTGGTTAAGACAGTTAAATTATCTCCGATACGACATCGTAACACAGGGGTTTTCTCGGAGATATGCCTTTTTTGAGTATCCAGCGGATAGAAATAAGTCATGTGGAGTTGAGACAGATCTTTATATATATGTGGGTTGATCGATATTCCCCACCCTAAGCTTTTTTTTTTTAAAAAAAAAGAAAAAATGTCTTCTAATAATTTGCTTTTAGGTTTTTCTAACAAAATCGGAAAATTACTTGAAGATCCGGACTATGAGTTTAATACAATCATTCGAACCGGAAATGATTCGAATATAAAATGTTTTAAAGCGCATTCTCTTATTTTAAGGGCGATGTCTCCATACTTTCGTGCTGCCTTATCAAATAAACATGTTATGAAAGAAGGGAATTGGACTTATTTGGAACAACCAAATTTTTCTCCTTCTACGTTTGATGTTATCTTGAAGTAAGATTTTTCAAGGAGATTCGATTTCCATTACTAATCTTTGTTTACGGATCATATAATGAAGTCGGATTAAAATGAAATGAAAAGTTTCTATTTGTCCCTATAATTCTACTCCTAAACCAGGGACGATGATTTTCTGCGGTGATAAAATGCCAATTCCAACATTAATTTTTAAATTTTTGGCAGAGATTTGAGTTGTAATTCTGGCCAAATCGCAGTATTGCTGATCCATCGTCCCTGCCCTAAACCCTACCCCTAAAAAAATGCACCCAAAAATTTGTATTTTTCGGTGGCTTCATTTCATTTTAATCCGATTTCATTTTAATTCGTCACAGTATTTACAATATTTCACTCTTATTCTAGATTCATGTATACTGGTACTATATATATAGAAAAACAAGACAACTCAGAAATTGTTGACCTCCTGAAAACCGCACAAGAACTAGGGCTCCATGAATTGGTCGACATGTTAAAAGACCATCTAATTCAAAGTCAAGAAAAGATAATACCGAAAGAAACGGCAGACACTAATTTAGTACCAGGTGTAGATCACATGAACGGTTCCAATGAGATGTCTGAGCTGCGATCTACCAAAAGACGGGGTCGAATCCGACTCGTTGGAGCTGGCCCCGGTGATCCGAATTTGTTAACACGTGCAGCATTTCAAGCCATATACGAAGCAGATATAGTATTAACTGATAAACTTGTACCTGAGGAGGTGCTAAAATTGATTCCACCACAAACTGAAATACTAGTATCGCCAAAAAAGTTTTGTGCTGATGCTAATGCGGCTCAGGAAGAACTTAATCGTTTGGGACTTAATGCATTAAATCAGGGCAAAGATGTCGTTAGACTAAAACAGGGCGGTTAGTGTCTTTGAATTTTACCTTAATTTATTTTAGATTTTTTTTAATTATATGTAGCAATCGCATAACGGGAGTGACATGTAGGGTGACAAATAGACCTTTACACCGTTGGTCTGGGGTGGGGTTTCTAACTCTAACCCATAAAAGCAACAAATCAACGGTTTGCAAATCATCACGTGCCTGCGTACTTTTTATGCGATTGTTATGTATGATTTTATATTTATTTATCATTCTAATAAATTTATTTTTTTAGACCCATTCTTGTTTGGACGTGGTGGTGAAGAATTTCTTTTTTACCGTTCTCACGGTTACACTCCACAAGTTATCCCTGGCATTTCGTCCTGCATGTCTGCTCCGTTATTAGCCAATATCCCCGTAACACATAGAGGGGTAGCGTCACAATTTTTAGTTTGCACAGGAACAGGAAAACAAAATACTTTACCTGATATTCCATCTTATCATCCTTCTCGTACAACTGTATTTTTAATGGCATGTCACAGGATTAAACAAATAACACAAGATTTGATGAATGATGGTAAATATCCACCGGAATGCCCTTGTGCTGTCATTGAACGAGCAAGTTGTAAAGATCAAAATGTTATAAATGGAACCGTTGGAACAATTGCAGAAATTTTAGAACAAGTTGGTCATAAACCACCGGGGACGCTAGTTATCGGTTGGTCTTGTTTGACTCTGTTGTGAGATTCATAGACAATAACATCTAAAATTTGAATACATAATTTAATTTTGAGAATAAGTGCTTTATTATATAAAAAAATTCTATTTACAAATCAATTAATAAAAAATTTAACTTTTGGCAATACAAAAGCCATAATTATGAAATAATCGAGAAATACAAAGTTTTTTTTTATTATGTTAATGATTGTTCCTTTTTTTTTTTCTTTTTGTTATGCTTTTTTTTTTTCTAATTAAACCATCGATAAAGTATATCTATCAAGACCAGGTGCTGCAGATGAAAATTTTGATAATTCTTTTTCATCATGAGTAGATGCATATAATTTCATGCGAGCTTCAAGCTCCGGCCTGAAATGACGAATTAATCCTTGAACTGGCCATGCAGCTGCATCACCTAATGCTGTAAAAAAGCAGTAAATGTTAGCAAAATATCATTTGAAACATGATATTAACCTATAAAAAAAACTTAACGTACCGCAAATAGTATGACCTTCAATTTGTTTTGTTAGTTCTTC